CTTTCATGGGTTACATCAGCTGCGGACCCAGCACTCAACGAGGGGGTGCGACAGCGCGTTCTGGGCTCCGTCGAAACAATGTCGATCCAGGGGAAGAGGGAGATCAAAGCCGACATGGGAGAGGCTTGGGTTTTGCTTCGCCTGGTTGCTACTTGTCTTCTTCCTCCCCTTTTATTGGTTTTGTTTTGTTTTGTTTTTGGGCCCTTTGTTGGGCGGCCCGTTTCTCTTTTTCTTTTTTTTTGTAATTGGGCCTTTTGTTGGGCGGCCCATTTTCCCTTTTTTTTTTTTTGGGTAATTGGACCTTTTGTTCATTTGTTGGAGGTATAGATAGATAGATAGATATTTCACTTTTGAGGACGAAAAAATTTACTAGGGCTGTTGATGAATTTTTTTAAGATAAAAAGTTTTAATCCTTGCAAGTGAAATTTCTTGTAGTGTGTATAAAATGTACCAGTGATTGAGTTTAACATGGTTGCGGAATTAGGGAAACGATTGCTTCATTTGGTGAAGGATATGCAACGAGGTTTGATGAAGAAGGATTTGGAGGAATCTATGGAGGAAACCAGCCTATTTCTAGGGAGGACGAGGAGAAAATTGTTCATGGCAATGTCCCATGCATGTTCTCCTTTCTTTCTTCAATCACCAACCTCTAGACAGGCCTTATCAGATTCATGTTCGATTACCGTCCGTGTCAGATTAAAATCTAAATTTGAAATAATTAATTTTAATTACATATCTAATGAATGCACATTTTTTCAACCATCACATATCTAATATTATTTATTAAATATTAATAAACAACCTCGTTTTTACGATCGCTGATTGTCGACAGTTATTTGTCAACGTCCGTTCGGGCTGAACTTCAATGCTGAGTCCGCCACAGGGTTACATCATAAAAAATAAAAGATAAAATGAAGAAAAATAATTCAAGAACTAGGTTTTGAAGATTTTGCTTGGAAGAAGGAGATTCTTAGTGCAAAATAGTCATTTTTTCCCTCATTTTTCTTATTTTAAGTGATATACTCCAATCATTTCTTGTATTTTTCTTTCCGCGTCATGCGTAACTCATTCGAATATTGGGATGATGAACAATGTAACCTAATTGTGAACCTTTAATTTCAATTCTCAAGATTTTAATTTTTTCTTTTGTTGATTTTTACTTCAAGTCTTTATTGTTTTTGAAATAATTGGCAGCTATTTTATTCATTTGGGAGTAATG